CATCACCATCGTCAGCGTCAACACCCTCAATATCATCATCAGCATCAACAACACCATATTCGCATGCACAATCGTCATCATCAGCATCATCAGCAACATCAGCATCATCAGCATAATCATCATCATCAGCAGCATCATCATCAGCATCATCATCATCATCATCGTATTCAGCATCATCAGCATCATCCAAAATCAGCATCATCATCACCACCATTCTCATCAGCATCGTCAGCAGCATCCTCACCGTCCCATCATCATCATGATCAGCATCATCATCATCCTCGCTCATAATCATCACCAGCAGCAGCAAAAGCATCATCATCATCATCGTCGTCGTCGTCGTCGTCGTTGTCGTCGTTGTCACCACCACCACCACCGCTACCATCATCATCATCATCACAACCACCATCAGCATCATCACCATCATCAGCAGCAGCATCATCATACTCATCAACATCATCGTCGTCGTCGATGGCTCCTTGAGAGATCTGAAGGGTTCCAGAGAAAGAGCAAACAAGTTTCCTCTCTCTCTCTCGCTCTGTCTGTCTCCCCTTCTCCTTCATCCCTGTCCACATCCCATGTAGGAAACTCGCGCGTCCGTGCATATGTCGGCCGCCCGCACCTGGTACCTTGAGAGCTTGATCGATCTTGAGGCGGGCATCCGCCACTGACACACTGCTGCTTGCTTTCTTCACGGTCCAACCATATTTGACTGGCAGCTGAGAGCAACGTTGCCAGATGAAGCCACAACATGACGTACGATACGGCACGGAGGCAATACAGCATCAAATGCGAAAGTTGCTACGAAACATAATCCCGAACGTAGTTGCGGGCAGGCTCTTCCTCTGCTCACGGTCTCGCCCTGCTACGGCTCGTAGAACACTCGCCAAGAATGCAATATGTCTTGCAGCACGCTGAACTGTATAGAACGGTTTTGATGTGCGTGGGCAATGCCAATGTCGCACGTCGGGGTTCACATGTTGACCGCCACTGCTCGGCACTACGCGTCCGCGATCTGGAGAACTATGACCCCCCTCTGGCCTCCAACGCCCAGGTCCACAAAGCTGTAACTATAGCTCGGTGTCCAAATCTCGCCCCAAGAAGCCCCCGAGAAACTCCAGGAGGCCCCCCAAGAGGCCCAAATCAGGCCCCCAAAGGCCTCCAACAGGCACCCGAGAGGCCCTAAACACACTCCAAAACCGCCGCCAAGAGGCTTCCAAGAGGCCTCCCAGGGTCACGGCGTGTGAGATGCTTCCCCCTCCCAAAACCCCTCCCCCGGGGGCCCGGTCTGGCCGGTTTGGAGGGGAAGGGGGGGGGGAGGGCGAAGGCGCCAGACGCGCACTTGGAGCCTCAGGAGGCCCCAAAATGAGCCAAAGAGGTCCAAAAGAGTGCCGGAACGGTCCAAGAAAACTTCGAGTCGACGAGGGATCGTTCCACAACGCCGAGGATTGCCTCCAGACGGCCCAATCAGTCCCCAAGACTCTCGAAAAAGTATCACGAAGCGCCCCACGAAGGCCCTGCAGAAACAAACATCGTCCCATTCCCGGGGGAGAACATACATTCACAGCACATTCGCCTTTTGGGCTTCCACGAGGCCTACAACGGTTTTTCCTCCAAGTTCGACCCTCCGCAGCCCGAGAGGCTCCCAAAAAAGCTCCACGACGGCTTCCAAGCGATCCACGAAGGCTCCAGAAACCATAGCAACGGCCCAGGAGAGCCGCATGACGGTCCCAAGAGGGCTCCAAAACGGGGCAAAAGGGTCCCCAAAGGCTGCCCAGACGGCCCACGCGGGGGACGATCCGGTCCAAACCGCCCAAGATTGCCTCCAGACGGCACCGTAGGCCCCCAAGACGTTTGAAAACGCGTCCACGAGGCGCTCCAAGAGGGCCTCCAGAAGCAAAAATCGTCCCATCCCCGAGGGAAAACGTACATTTTCAACACGTTCGCCTCTTGGGCTTCCACGAAGCCTACGACGGCCCAGTAAATCTCCAAATTCGACCCCCGACACCCCAAGAGGTTTTCAAAAAGGCTCCACGACGGCTTCCGGGCGCACTACGACGGCCACCACAGCAACGGCCCAGGACAGTCGCAGGACGGCCCCACGAGAGACCCCCCCAAAACAGGCCAAGAGGGTCCCCAAAGGCCTTGTGGACGGCCCACGAGGGGGACGATTCGGTCCAGACCGCCCCAGCTTGCCGGCAGACGATTCCCCATAGGACTCCGAGTCGTTTGAAAAAGCTACTGAGAGGCGCTCCACGAAGGCCTCCAGAAACACAAATCGTCCCATTCCCGAAGGTTATATTTTCAGCACATTCGTGTCTTGGGCTTCCACGAGGCCTACATAGGCCCAAGGGGCATCCAACATCGACCCCCTAAAGCCCCAGAGGCTTTCAAGACGTTTCCAACACCGCTTCTGGGCGCCCCACGAAGGCCCCAGAAACCGTGGCAGCGGCCCTCGAGAGCCGCAGGACGGTCCCACGAGGGCCCCAAAACGGGCCAAGAGGGTTCTTCAAAGGCCTCCTGGTCGGCCCCAAGTCGTTCAACAGTGCCCCGAGTCGTCCTACATTGCCTCCCGACAACCCCACGGGCCCCCAAGACGCCTCAAAACGCTACCCAGAGGCGGCCCAAGAAGCCTTCCAGAAGCAACAACCGTCCCTTCTCTCGATGGAAAGCACATACAGTATTTCCAGCACGTTCGCCTCTTGGCCTTTCACGCGGCCCCTGAGACCGCTTGCACGCCCCAACAAGCCTCCAGGACGCGGCCCAACAGGCCCTCCACAAGCAAACATCGGCCCGTTCCCTGATAGAAACGTCCAAATTTAGCACGTTCGCTTCTTGGCCTTTCCCGAGGCCCACAGCAACCCAAGAAGAAAGAATAGAAGCTCCAAACATCAAGTTCCAGGCGAAACCCATGTGCCTCCAAGAGGGCTCAAGACGGCCCAAAAGGTCCCCAAGAGGGCCCCCGCAGCCACCGACGAAGGCTCCAGGACGGCCCCAAGGGGCTCCCCCGAGGGCTACGACTCGTGAAGAGATCGCTCCTAGACGTCCGACATTGCCTCCGGACGGCCGCGGAAGCCCCCTGCACGCCCCGACGCGCCGCCAGGACGCGCCCCAAGAGGCTCCCAGAAGCAAACCTCGGCCCGTTCCCTAAAGGAAACGCACAAGTTTTGAACTTTCGCTTCTTGGCCTGTCACGCGGCTCGCAGCAGCCAGAAAGAATACCCCAAATAACCCAAAGGAACCCCATATGCCTTCAGAAGGCTCCCATCTTTACCCAAACTTAGCCCAACAGGGCCATCTGATAGGATGTTATGGTAGTAGTTAGTAGACGTGGCACTCCTAGCAGCGGCTCCAAGAGGATGCGTCTGGGATCGAGGGACACCCGAGATGTACCACGGCGGCCAATGTGCGCGGCGTCAGCCGTCGTCGCGCGGCGTCAGCCGTTTAAGTATGAGGTTCGACTGTCCGTTAAGCGGATAGGGAAGAGAGAAGATGTGTTGTCGCGCGCGCTTTCTATCACTGATCCCAAACAGCTGTAGATCAGTCAACATACTGTTCAGGCGTTGTAATCGTGCTTATAATAAGCGGCGGCAAGAAACGTACGGTACCGACTCCCCCCGCGGCGGCCCGGCCGCAGCAGCCGGCCAGGGCCGACGTTGCACCATCGGGACCTCACGTCACCGACGGCGCCAAATTGAGGCGGGCGCGGGCGCGAATCTCACGCAGCCACCAGCAGCCCGGCTCGCCTCTGCAGAGTCACCATGTCGCCATGGGCTTATGGTGCGTGTACCAGTCCCAGCCGTTGCCGCGACGCAAGGGCCAGTCCCAGCCGTCGCCGCGGCGGTCTCCCCAGCTATCGCGACCGCCCTTGCCGCGGTCGCCTTTGCCCGCTCCCTTGCTCCCGGCCCGGCGGGGGGAGCCCCTCCACGCACTCCAGGCGTCATTGGCGGGGGGCTGGCTGTGCCTCCGATCATGCCATGGGCGCGGGCTGGAGCCGGGCTGGCTGGGCTGGGATTTAGAAGGAGCTTCGCCACTGCGGACCGGCTCGCGCACGTCAGTGTAGCGGCATGGCCGCGCCTTTGCCAAAGGCGGGGGCGCCGTGCGATCCTCCGCCACTGCGCGGGCGCGCTTGCCCTTGCCCGTCTCCGCGGCTGCAGCAGGCGGCGGGGTCGCGCGACGAGGGGCGTCCCCTCTGCCGGCCCGGTCCGCGGTGCCGCAGTCGCCCTGTCGCCCTGCTGTGGGCGGTGACTCAGGGCGCGTTTGCGGCTGGCAGGCCGCGCAGACCTAACACTCGTGGCCGTCGGGCGGCTCCTTTGCTCCTCACGCGCCATGGGCAGCCTTGAGGTTGGGCGCTCTTGGTCAGGATCGAGCGCCGCCACTCCGTGCTGTCCCCAAATGGTAAGGGCATGCGCAGCTGCCTCGTGCACGTGCTGTGGCCACCTCTCGACCGCGGCGTGCTGGAAGGTGTCCGGCGTCATGCGTATGCCATGCCTGAGCGCCCTGGCCTCCGCTTGCTGCAGGTACTGCATGCGCGCCTCGATCTTGTGGGCGTCGATTGAGATCGGCAGCGCGTCTTCTCGATCCAGATGCAAGTCGCGGTGGGCCAAGTCCAGCATGTCACGACGAGCGTTCAGGAGGTGAATTCCACTCACCAAGCTAGCTCGGTACCGACCGACCTCCGCAAGATGAGTCCGCATGGCGTCCTCATCCGCGATCTCTGGGTTAATATCAGTCCACGCGAAGTCCTTGGTGAGCTCGATGGCCACTCTGTAGACCTGCCCCGACATCCACTTCGCCTTCTGCGAGGGGGAGTCGGGGTCGTAGACGCAGAAGTCAGGCGGGTCGAACCGCAGCTCGCGTATCCTGGCCACACAGGAGGAGGCGTCCCCAGCATGATGATGCTCCTCGGGCTCGTCAGCGGCTTCAAAGAAGGTCGCGAGCTCCTCTGCCTCCCTAGGCGCAGCAGGTCGGCTGGGTTGTGGGCGTTGCGCTCTGGGGCACGCGACTTGTCACTCTTGCGCATGGCGTTGCCGCCGAATGCCCGAGACGCGTCTCCTGTCTGTGATTGCATCGTGCAGCTGCGGGATCTGCCGCGCTTGCCATGGGCAGCGGCAGATGGCCAGACCGAGGCCGAGGTGTGGACTTGGTCCCTCGGGGCGTTGTCCTCGTCGTCTCTGTCCTCCTCTTCGTAGTCCGCCAGATCCTCCTTAGGGGGCCAGTGCGTGTCTAGCTCGTCCTCAATCTGTGACCAGAGGTCCCAGAGGTCCGTTGGCAGGTCATCTCGGTTGTCGGTGCTCCAGGCGTCCCATCCCGCGCCAGGCTCGAACTTCTCGCGGGCGTCAGGGTCTGCGATGTCCCAGTCGAAGATGTTGAGGATGCCCATGTCCGTGTTCTTGTCGGTCAGGTCGACATAGCGAGACAGGTATGCCCACAATTTCCACGACGGGCAAGTGGCGCGATAGCCGGTGGGTCTCTGGCCGCGGTACTCCTGATAGCGCAGCCATCTGCGCGCCAGTTTGTATCTTTTTCCCTCGCGCACCTTGTTGCCATGGGCAGGGCGCTTGTCCGTCGGCGACGGCGGGGCCTAGGCGAACGCGGACCTTTCCGCCGACAGCGTGGCCGTCTTCCCCGCCATTGCGGAGTGATGGCGATGGCGGTTCAACGCCGCTTTTGGAGTATCATTACTCCAGTTCTCTTGCCAGCGACCCAGTGTTCTATCGGCGTTCTGTATTTGAGTCGCTCTGGCTTCTTTTGGTGGCTTCCCCTGCCGCTCCGATCATGGACCGCGGCGGCAGGGTGCTGTTTCCAATCCTTCTGCATCCCAACATGTCTCCAATCCACTGCAGGCTGGAGCCTCTTGGGCTGCTTCTGGAGCGCCTCGTAGGGAGGCTCTTCCTGACACGCGCCGCAGGCCAGCATGCCGTAGAGGGTCTTGTGCCCCAGATGGCAGACGAGGCGCATGTCGTCGTCCCAGGTGGGGGTTTCTTTGACACCCTGCCACGAGACAGCGTTCAACCTGTCTTCGGAGACATGGTTCACGATCCGCTGGCCCGGCTCCAGGTAGTCAACGCACCCCGTGTGCGGTGTGGGGGCAACCTGCAGCATGGTGAGGCGCCGGTCATAGTCAACGTGCCGCATGAACTTGTCATCGGGGGCTTCCAGTACCGCGAAGATCTGCCAAATGTCTTTCCTTTGAGGAATGCGGTCTGTGAAAATCTGACCCGATGGCAGTACCCAGTGCGGGTGAGCCTCGACATGCCTCGGGCTCAGAGTGGCGAAGTACGTCACCTTCAGAATGGAAAAGGTCGAAGTCGAGAACAGCCTTATTGGTGGTGCCATTGAAGTCCCTGGACATCCCATTCTGATGAAGAAACGTTGGGAAGTTGTCTTCCAACTCGGAACGTACTTTTTGATCGTCTCGTTCAACGAGGTCGCGAGCCTCTTCAAAGCACAATGGCTCATATATGTCCTCTACCGCGTTCAGATCATGGATCATCTTCGCGTGCGGTGAGAGGGCAACTGTGAATGCCACGGTTCCGTATTGACGTAGTCCTGCGGCTGCATCGAGCAATAGAGCCACCTCGCCGCACTGGATTTGCCGAACGTCCGTGGAATCCATCGGTAGCAGGAGCGCCCCGTGCTTGTCGCTCATGTTCGGATCGTGCCGCGCGTTGCGTCGGTAAGGAGAAATGACCCTCAGGGAGTCACCATGCACAGAGTGAACGAGAAGGGGACGAACGGCAGGAACCATGAACATCTGCTCGCCGTCGCTGTCCCCAAGAGCCGCGTTGGGGTCGTCAGCGGTGTCCGTTGCGCCAACCCCCTTGAGAGCGATCTCGGCGAAGCTGTCATCCCAGTCCATGGGGCGGGATGTTGGGCCTTCCGCTGCTGCGTCCATTTCAACGCCGAGTATCTGGATGTCCTTCGAGTCGAGCATCGATCTGGCGTGGAGAAATCTGGACCACGCGCGGTCGTAGCCGACGTGCTTCAGCGTGCGAATCAGCACGTCGACGTCCACCCATTCTCCTGAGCTTAGCACGTGGGCCGTGCTGTGGCGGAGCAGGTGAATCACTAATCCTCCTAGCCGCAGGGCTTCATCTCGACCCAACTCGCTTGCACTTGCATAGAGCCTGGAACGCAGGTGCGGGTATATCGGCGCCAGGTCATGGTCCGGGCCAGGCAAACTCGCGCTCTCAATGGTGTTGTAGCGGGCCCTGAGGTAGCTCTCCACCCTGCCGCGCTCATTGGGACTCAGCCGCCTTAAATGCTCCAGGAGCGGGTCGGCCACGCAATCTGCGTACACGGACAGCCTGTCACTGGTGATCGTTCGGCCGGCTCGTTGACGCGGGAGTACTGGTCCATTATTGTGGAGCTCGTCGACGTAGCGAGCACGAGGGGGCGAAATCGCCTTCAGGTTCTCCCTGATGAAACCGTCCGTTGCCAAAAGGATGCGGCGTCGCTCATTGGGAAGGAAACCGATGTAGGTCAGCTCTTCGTGCTCCAAATTGAGCTCCTCGAGGTCCAATTGGCATTCGGATTCCTCGTGAAGCCGTCTGAATTTGCCTGCTGAGATCTGCTGCTTCTTGGGGAGCGGCAGGGTTCCTTCGAACAAGAAGTATTCAATGTCGAACGGAGAGCCCTGCATCTCATCATATGATTTTGTCTCGGGGTCGATCTGTATCAATGGGGTGCCTGCGTGGCCGGCTCCATCCGATGACTTTTCTTTCACTTCTTCTTGTGAATCATCAGCATTGCTGACCTCGCATGACCCCGCAATCCCCATGGATTCGTCCTCTTCGTCTCTATCTGAGCCGTCCTCTTCATCAATCTCGGAGCCGGATTCAGAGTCGAGGTTGTTCATAATCTCCTCCCGCCACCACTTCTCGTATTGCCTTTCCTCGTATTCTATGATGTCGGAAGGTGCGCGACCGCCGCGGGCGTCGGCCCATCGACTGTAATTTCGGTGCCTGAGGGCATCGATCTAGATGGGCGGCCGTCGCGGTGCTGCAAAAATAGCAGTTGCGAGCCAAAGGAATCCTCTCTCCCCGAAGAACTGCCCGATAGGTCGTTCGGAAGCATCCCATCGCCGGGCATCGCCATACCTGCTGGGCTAGGGCCGCCGCGGGCGAGGCTCGCACATACTTGCGGCGAATGGAGACGAAGGCCTCGTCTGGCGACGGCGGCGGCTGGTACTCGGGCGCCCCGTCTCGAGGATCAGGCTGTTGATCGTTGGGCATCCCGTCGGGGAACTCGAAGCGCACCCGGGAGTTAGCCGTGAACGAGCGATCGAAGCCCGCATGCCCGATATTTCCCCAGCCAGAGCGCCTCCCACCCGATTGTCTTTCGCGCCAATCCCCTGCTGCTTCGGCGAGCATGAGCTCACGACCGCCGCGGCGGATGACGCTCTTGGACCTCTTCGGTCCTTCGGGTTCGACGCTGCCTGGGACATGGTCCGCAGCAGGCTCTTCGGGTTTCCTGGTGATCTCCTCCTCCTTCTTCTGGGATGGGAAGTCCTGCCAGTCGAGGTCCGAGACCCTGGGCATCGACATGTCCATCTTCATGCTTCGAAGCGGCGGGCGCTCACCTGGCAGGCCAGCCTGCGAAAGAGGGGTCATGATATCCTGGAAGCCATGGGCTATGTGGATGGGCTGGTCGAACTGATCCGTTATCAGGCCGCTCGCGTACAGTTCGCCGTACTGCCAATCCTTTACCCGGAGGAATTCGATGTGTGTTCCTCCTGATATCTCTCCCGGCTCAGCTTGGATCTTGTCCTGCCTCTGCGAGTGGAATTCTGCGCGTGCTGCGCGCCGGACCATGGCCTGCGCGTGTGCGGAACGGGGCGCCTCCTGACGCATCGCTTCGTCGATCGCCTGTGCTATCCGCCACTTCGGATTCCCTTCCTCCAGGTCGGGTGCAGGGTCAACCAGAGCCTTGTAGTCGACCTCGACATGGCAGGAGTGTTCTGGATGGAAGACCCAGAGATGGCGCTCGTTGGCTTGGCTCGACGTCATGAAATAAAGCCTCAAGGAAAGCCTAACTATGAGTTAAGGCTTTTCGCAGACGTGTTGTTTCCTCCCTTGAGTTCCCGAATCTATGGGACGGAAACCTCCTTCCTCTGATGATGGGGTCGTAACCTAGAAGTCCATAGTGACTAAACTCCCATCATCCCGCAGCTCAGTGGCATGGCTATACTGTTGCTGGTTCATGTGGAGATACTCGGTGTCACGGAGGGCGTAGACGCCTTCTGCGTAGCCTCTATCCTTCGCCTTCTGGTCTGTCTTGACCCTCATGTTCCACTTCTCCTTGGGCGGAAGGAATGCACCAGCGTTGAGAAAAGCATGGAGCTTGCGGATGTCCGAAGCATGGGAGTAAGTCTCCCATTGGCCTCGCCTGATGCGGTCATGGACGGGATCAGGTAGAAGGAAAAGAATCTCAAGCACGGAATATGATTCGTGCTCGGACAATGGCGCCGTGCGCCAGTCAAAGAGGGCTGCGCAGGAGACGTTCTCTAGGTTCGTGGTGTGAAGCCGCCTCGGGGCCAGGTACTCGCTGGCCATCCTCAGGCTGTACTCCCGCGTGATGAGCGGGGAACGAGCTAAGCGCACCCTCTTGATTACCCAGTCGCGGCCAGCGGCGCGGCCTTACAGCGAATCGTACCACTTCTCATTCTCGTAGAATTGCTCTGTCAAGTGGAACTCCTTTAAATCCACCTCCCTGTCACGGCTGATGAGCATGAGCTCGTAATGAACCGTCTGGTGGTCATGGACTATGATTTCGCTCTGTGGTGCCTCTGGGACTCCAGACCTCGTGCCCATGACGACGGACTTCTGGTGCGGCGACGAAATCCATGGCCGCGTCCTTCGTCAATGGGCAGGATCTCCATGGGATCACCTGCCGCTGTCTCCATTCCGTAGATATCCGCCGTGTCATCATGGGGCACAGTGGTGTACCGCCGGTCCGCCCAAGCAGGTCGTTCGTCGTGGTGTTCCGCCAGCCAAGCCCTGAAGTCCTCCGAGTTAATGTTGGAGGACTCGGGCGGCGCATGCACTGGTGCCCCCATGTCACCGAATGGCAGCAACTCTCCCACCTGGCAGCTCACATGGTGGCCGCCGGTGGAAATCACGTTCTTCATCATTGGGCCAGTGGCGCCCGGTTGCTTAGGCGGTGATGCGACTGGTGGCGGCGGTGGAGCCACTGCTCCTGGCGCGATAGAAGGGCGCTCCTTGATGTCGAAGGTGGGGCGGCACAGCTCGTGGCAGATCGTGGCGGCATCCATGATGTACTTCGCACGCGTGGCCGCGTAAGTGTGGTTCTCCCCGCCCGGCAGGAAGTGCCAGTCGTCGCCGGTCGGGTGCTGGCCCTTGTGATAGAGCCCGGAGCCTCGGAGTATCAGCATTTTTGGATTCTGGCCCGCTTTCTGGTAGATGTTGATCCTGTTTTGCCCCCGCGCCAGGATTCGGGAGGCAAGTGCGTCCCAGATTCGCCTCCCAGCGCTGCCTCTGGGATGCCTCCAGCTCTGGCCGTCGCCCATTACCAATATGACGAGCATGGCTCCTGTTGTCTCAGCAATATGCGCCTGCTCATCCACGACGTCGTCCATCATGGATAGGGCCTGACGTTCCAACTCATCGTATTGGAGAGGGTTGTCTCCGCGTCGGGCACCTTTGACTCGCCGACGGTTGTCTCTGTGGTCGCATAACTCGTTGCCGTTCCACGCGATGACCCTGCAGCGGGTCGGGCACGCCGTAGCCCGCCTCATGGAGCGTAGTGAGACCTTTATGTCGTCCAGGGTCTCGCCACCCCGAACACTGGTCTGACACCCATGTGAATGCATGGTCAGCTGCTCCTTGAGAGCGCTGGACAGCGCAGATTTCCCCTTGGTGCTGACGAGCGCCATGGTGGAGTCAGTGGAGATGAGGTGCTCGATGTCTTTGTATACCCGTTCGCCCTCGTCCATGTTCGCTGCGATCTTACCAGCCCATGTCTTGGTGGGCGTTGGCCGGTGCCACGTGGCACATGGTACACCGTGGGTGGCATGCAGGTAAATAGCCTCTCCCGAAATGCGGGGCGGCATGCCTGCTGCTCGCGTGGGACTGCTGAGCGCCGCGCAGGCCTGCGGGAAGTCCAGCCTCGTGAACGCGGTAGCCGCCTCTGGCTTGATGAGGTTTGCCAGAGTCCTCCCGACGGATTTCACCGCCGCGACATAGGCGGGCGGCGGCCCCGCCTTCGGCATTACACCCCAAGTCGAGGCACGGGTCCGACACGCCGTCCTTCTTGAGCAGCTCGCTACGATATGCCAGCGCGTTCCAGAAACCGTGTGCGCCCACCCTGTCGGCCAGGGCGCACCGGTTCTCCTTCTGCCCTGCTACCGCCTCCGCGGCCTCGGCGGGTGTCTGCGTGGCGGCAGGAGCATGCGAGGGCTGCCCCTTCTGCTGTGTTCCCAGACTCGCCGCGACTGCCCTTGGCCTGCTATGCCCCCTTGGCGGAGGTCTCTCGCCTGCGCGGGAGCGAGCAGCCATGGGCTGCTGCCTCTGCTCTGTGGCTCCTGTACCACGGGCATGGCCTGTGGTATCTTCTTTCCCTGTCTTTGCAGGTTCCTGCGTCATGTGGTCGAAGACGTCGGACATTGTCTGATCGCCGTCTACTTTCCCCGACGGAGGACTGGCCTCAGCAGCAACTGCTGCTTTGGCCCTCGTGTCGTTCTCGCGAATCTGCCTCAGCTTCTTCTGGTCCTCCTGGGAAAGCTGGGGCTCCGTTTCTTCTCGGGCAGGCCTGGCACCTGCTCGGCGTTCTGCACAGGGTGGGCATTGTCATCTTCGGGCGACGTCACCTCGAACTCGGGCGGCATCGACGAGTCCGACTGTCGCGAGCCGGGGGCTGGCTACTGCTGCTCGTCTGCGGCTGCCTTTGCCGCCTCCTCCAGCTCCTGCGCCCTGCGGAGGCGTTCAGCCAGTCCCGATTATGGCTCCGCCGCATAGCCGCACACCCAGGCCGTCCGACACATGGGTGGCGGCCCGAGCTGGATGGTGTGCCCTCGGCGCGGCTTTCGGCCTCGGCAGCGGCGAGGGCGGGGCATTGCCGTGTCCCTCCATCGGCGGCGGTGGGCCCCGCGGCGGCGGCGGCGTCTCACGCGTGACCGCTGGTGGCGGCGCATGCTGGGGCGGCGCCTTCGGCGGCGGTGCGTCCCGCGGCGGTGGCGGCTTCGCCCCGCCAGCGGCGGCCGATGACTGCGCGCGCTGTGGCGGCGCCTTCGGCGGCGGCGGGCCCCGCGGCGACGGCGTCTGCGCCTCGCGAGTGGCAGTCGGTGACCGCGCGTGCTGAGGCGGCGCCTTCGGAGGCGGTGGGCCCCGCGGCCATGGTGGTTGCGCCTCGCGAGTGGCAGCCGGCGACTGCACATGCTGAGGCGGCGCTTTCGGCGGCGGCGGGCCCCGCGGCGATGCGCCCCGCGAGTGGCAGTCGGTGACTGCGCATGCTGGGGCGGCGCCCTCGGCGGCGGCGGCGGCGGCCGGCCGCGCGCCGCTGCTCTTGAGGATGGCTGCCCGTGCTCGGCAGCCTTTGCGCGACCCCAGCGGTGCTGGCCACTTCCCTCCCCGGGCCGCGCATGGTACGTTGCCGCGGGGGTTGCTTGCTGACTTGACCTTGGATCCGCTCGGGCCACAAAGATATCCTGCCTCATCTGTTCCCTGAGGTTGATGTCGGCAGTCGGCATTCTGCAGAGCGGAGTGGGATCGAACTCGAAGTCAAGCAACCCGTCCTTGACACGTTGCGCCCTGTCTGGAGAGATGTAGTCCGTGCGCTTCAGCCATCCGTAGTCTACGAGGCTGTCGGCAGAGTCCTCTTCGTGGAATTCGCCCTGGGCCGCTTTGCGACCCTGGAAGGTGACGAAGGGCCACGCGTCGCCCCACCATGCCGGGCGATGCAGTCGGTCCTTGACGAAGTCAAAGGTAGGGCTCGTTTTCACGCGTTCCTCAAACTCCTAAAAAGCTGATGCCGTCGTAGCCGCTCATGGAGTTGAAATCTTTGAGGAGCATCCTGCAACCAAGGGCACCATGCTCGAGACCGTGATTCTCCTTCATTGGATACTTCACTTGCGAGGCGGGCCCCAGCGGAGCCTGCTCTGGGTCAGCCGTGACGCCAGTGAATCGAACAAAATCGGTCCGTGATGTGCCTGCGCGCTCCTCCTGGCCGATATTGGCCAACATGGTCCCATGCCGATTCCAGGAACCACTCGAAGAGGTCACGAGGGGTCCTGGTCCGCAGCGCGTCGTACAGCCGGTCGGTCGGCTCCTGAAGCCACGCCTCAAACAGCTCTTCGTTCTGCTGCAGAGTGAGGTAGGGCCGGGGCATGCGAAAATCCATCGGCGGCGCTTTCGCATCTGGCCACGGTGTGACGACGACTGCACTCAGATCATGGATCTCCCGTGCTCCGCCCATATCTTCAAGGATGTGCCAGATGGACTGCTTCCCACGAAAGACGGGGAGGTTCACGCCCTGCACGAACGGCTCCAGGCCCGCAGTCCACGGTACCTTGCCTGCGTTGGCGGAGTTCCAGATGGCATTGAACATGACGGGCGGCAACCTAACCATGGGCTTATATGACGGCTTCTTGAACATTCTGGCGAGCAACCCAACCGTGTCGAGCCCACCGTTCAACTCGCGCCCCCAAGGCGTCCGCATGGCAGACCCTGTATATGTCACGGAAGCCAGCTGGGAGGTTCACATTCGCCCTCGGCTCGACCCCCAATGCATGCTACAAATTTGGGGTCTTACTCCACGCATGTGAGTGTGGGTTGAATGCGCCATTGCAGAGCACCCTGCGTCTTGGTGAAGTAGTGGAGCTGAGCGGTGTCCCAATCGCCCGGGGGGATAACATACTGGTCCGGCCGATAGGTATTGACCGTAGTCGAACAGCCCGAGCGATAGCGTTTCTCAAGGCGCTCGTCCGGTAGGATACCCTTGGCGAGGTACGCGAGCGCCATCGCCTCCTTTGCGAGAGCTATGAGCTTCTCCTCGTCGGTCATGTCGCGCGAGCGCAGGATATTGACCACGGGCTCGTAGCCAGAGGCGTTGGGGCAGCCCTGGCCGTTCTGAAACATCTTGCCCCAGTAGCTACGAAGCGCGCCGTGCGTGATGGCCGACATCTTCTCAACAGCACCTCTTATGAAGCGGTGCTGTTCGCGGTCGGGGCGGCTGCTGCCCCTCCTTCTCACACTTGCGGACATGTGGGGTCCGCTGCCAATGGGTGTTGGCGCTGCTGAGGCGCCGCCGCGAAAGCTGCGAGGCTCTGGCGAGCTGCGGCGGCGCGCGCAAGGCGAAGAGGATGCCAATCCAGCCGCGTGGGGGAGCTGCGCAGGGGCACCGGTTTGAGCCATCATGTCGACGGCGGTGCTCGTGAATGCATGCAACGTGGCAGGGGCAGCATGTGGATGGGCAACAGATGCGGCATGAATCCTCCTAGCAAGCTCCTCTGTGTAGTCCTCTGCCAGCTTGGAATCCTTTTCCCTGGCTTCCATGTTCTTGTGACTACCGTCGCACCTACGCTCAAGAGCCTTGGCAATGCAACGCAATGGCGAAACAATGCTCCATGGCTTTTTCATAGATTGCCCTTTCCTGTCCTTTCGTCCAACTGCGCAGCCATGAAGCTGTATCTTCGTCATGTTGTTGTAATAAGAAATTCTTTGACTTGTGGATCATGTCAGTGACGACGTGGAGTCGGCCACTCGAGACATATTTTGCCTTTTCTCTGACTTATTTCTTGAGTACATTCGCGAGCTACCCAACACAACAGCCGAAAACATGTAATGTGACCCCTCAATTGCTTTAGTGCTTTCTCGTTGCTGGAGCGGTAGCTCATGGCCTCCTTAACATGCTGCCGCGGCGATCCGCCCGTGCGCGGCATGGAGATCCACAGTGTTATCCGTCTGTCCGTGGTCACCCCTTGTTTCTTCAGTTCTTGCTCAAACTCTTCGATTTTGGCCACGGCAAACGATTTGCCTTCTTTGGTGGTCATGTCTTCTTCTTCTTCGTCTGTCAGTCTGACCACCTTGCATTGATCATCGGGAATGTCACTCTGATTCCCTAGCCGACTATTCGGTCCACAGCAAAATTCAATAAAGAGGCGTTGCCGGGATCTTTCGCCGGGACCTACTGCGGCATTAAGAGCTACACCGATAGCATGGCTAGCGAGTGCAGTCTCCTGTTCCTCAGCCGCCTCTGCTGGCGATAGAAAACCTTCGTCCATGGCGGGGGTTGCTCGAATCGTTTCGTGCCTATGTCAGCGGCCTGGTCATGCGTCGGACAACAATTCAAGTTAACGGTGCCTCTGGCGAACTGTTCCGCCACGGCCGAGGCGTCGATTCGGTGAGTTCGCGGCGGGTGCATAAACTTCTGGGGCCCACCAGCTTTGCAAACCTTCACGACGGCCTGATTGTCTTCCATGAGCTCCGCCCTCGGCGCTTGACCGAGTAGCATCTCCCACAAGGGGGGCGCCGGCAGGAGCTTTCTTCGGAGCGCTTCGTCCGCGGAAACTATTTCCGCCTCCAGCGTGCTATGAGACACCGCTGCTTGTCGTCGTGAATTGCAGCTCTGTCGCGCTCTCGTGTGTTCTCCCACAGCAATTGTGTATTCGCACTGGTACTGCGATGCGTGCGGATGTCACTGGCAAGATCGGCGTCCGCGAATTGTCGTTGCCAGACATCTTCTCGGCAATCTCCCACCCAAGAAACCAGGCGGTAGTGGGTCGTGGCTTTCAGGTAGCAGATGATTCGAAAGAGATCAATGTCTTGCTGCTCTGTCCATTTGGTGACGCACGCGGCTGTCTTACAGACGGCATTAAGCAGATCAGGGCGTGCCATCCGCGCGCCGCACAAGATCTTCATCCAGACTTTCGCTGCCATAGGCTGCAGAATTCCTGACGGTGCGGGTGGCTTGGGATCAGGAGCAGGTGGCCCGTCCATGGAAAGGCCGCCGACGTGGACCTCGGCGTCCGAAGGCCCGACCACGGCGTCAATGCGTAAGCATGCGGCCAAGGCATCTTTCGCAGGGGCCAGAATCTCACCCCGCGCGCCACCCTTGCCGCCCTCGGATGACGCAAGTTCAGGGCCGAAAGGTGTGCCCGAGAGAGGATGCGTGTCCTGGTCGGTGTCTGTAAGTTCAGCGTGCAGCGATGCGATATGCAAGACTTGGAGAACTCCTCCATGTCGTATTCGATAATGCGCACCTTCTTCCTGGGTCCTGGCTTGCACTCGGGCGTTGAAGTAGGCGGCGGCGGTGCCGGGGCCGCGCATCGCCCTAACCGAGTCCAGTCCTGATCCGTCGGGCTCTGTGGCGTAAAGATGGTGGCTTCAGCATCTCAGTCATGAAACATGAGGAT